CCCCGACACTCCCAAAATCATCTACAGGCCGGAGTTCGAGGTACCCCACTACCTATTCCCTCACGCCCTACCACCACATCTCCAAGAACCACAAGCCCAAGATCTCCCCGAAGACCAACCCGACCAAGAGCCTCAACCCGAGTACCAAGAACCCGAGGTTGCACATCACCACATGCCCGCACCTAACCAAGCTTACCCACCTCCCGATTACTTCCAACAACTGCTTGACGGATTTAATAGAGTTACCAATGAAGTTGGTAAGTATCGGGAGGAACAAAGGGCGGGGTTTCAAAGGCTAGAGGAGCAACGGGCCGAAGACAACCGAAGGTATGAAGAAGATCAACGTAGGTTCTATGGACCTATGTATTCCTACATGGCTCATCAAGGCCAATTCCACACCATGGCTCAACCACCACCACCCCCCTCTTGGTATGACCCCACTCAATGGGGCAACTTTGGAGGATCGAGCTCCGGGGGTGGCGGTTTTGGTGGCGGGGATGACGGCGGCGACACTCACATGGGTGACGGGAGCTACGGAGGAGGCTTTGGAGGCAGTTACTATGGCGGAGAAGGCGGGCACTAGGGACAGTGCTTAAAATAAGTGTGGGGGAGGAGACTCATCATGGTATGTAATTTTTATTTTCACACTTTACTATGCATGAATTTCTTTTACTCTTTGTAAACAAAAAAAATAGAAATAAATAAAAGAATTGAAATGCTAGTTAGGTTGAAAACCCAAGAATGGGCAATCTAAGCAAAAATGGCTTATAAAAAAAATGAGTGAGTTAGTAAGGATGGAAAAACAAAAAGAGATGCTAGGATGAAAACCTGAAAAGGCTCCTAGGCAAAATGAGAGATATGAGAGAAATATTTTTTCTGTGTGCAGGAACTCATTTGATCTCTAAGAGGAAGAAGAAGAAGAAGAAAAAGGAGAAGAGGAAGAGAAGATGAACACTAGAAGACCATAAAACCCAAGATGATATTTAGCATTAAAACTCATATTTTATCCTTGGTGGTCTTTGTGTTTTTATCTTGTTGAATCTATTGGAACTCGGGAATCTTTACACTTGTAAACATTGAACTTTACTCGAGGACGAGTAAAGAACTAAGTGTGGGGGAGTTGATACGTTTGTAATTTCCGTGTGTTTATTTACGTTTTTAGATAGTTTTGGTTGTTTAATATTTCGGAAATTACACACTTTCGGTGTAATAGTTTAGTTTGTTAAATTCTTGTAATTTGTTTAGATTAGGTTTATTGTGAGCTTAAACAGGTCCAAGATCAATCAAATGATCAATGGTGAAGGAAGGTGCAAGAGTACAAGACAAAAAGAAGGAAAAATCCTGATTTTGGTCTATACTCGGTCGAGTATATACATATACTCGATCGAGTATCTGGTTGACATTTCAAATCGGATCGGATCCGAAAACAAAGGAACATGCAGGAGAAGATTTTCCCACGTTCGAGTGTCTATACCCGATCGGGTATACTTATATACTCGATCGGGTATAGCTATAAAAACTACCCGAGTATTGATCGAGTATAGGGCGAATTCGATGTTCTACACATACTCGATCGAGTATGTATATATACTCGATCGAGTACTCGACCTGCACCTCAAAAAGCCTATAAATACACCTCCTTTCCTTCACTTTTAGAACACCAATTCCTATACACTCTTAAGCTCAGTTTAGAATAGCATTTCTTTATATTTCTTTTAGCATGTTTAGTCTCCAAATGAGGAGCTAAACTTCCATTTCTTGGTATTGCTCTTGAAGCTTGTTGATTATTAAAGTTGTGAGTTATTTTCTTAACTTCTTTTCCTTGAATATTAATTCTTCCTTTAAATACTATTTCTATATCAATGTTGGGGAGTGTTACTAAGATGACAATTAGTTAACATCTTGACATTGGTCTTAGTAATAGTTATTCCTTCCTCTATGTTAATATCGGGGAGTGTTACTAAGATGACAATTAGTTAACATCTTGATATTAACCATAGTAGGATACATCTTCTTTAATATTCTTCCTTGAATATTAATTAATCCCTATTCATATTTCATATTAATATTTTGAACATTACTTAAAGGATCAACTAGTTTTGTTTCATATATTAATTATTACTAGAAACGATCAACGAACCGATGGTTAATCGTTGATAGTTTCACAAGTAAGTAACTTCGGTTTATTAATGCACGGTCGTGGTTAATAAACTTAAGAGGGATTAATTTTGTTGGTTAAACCGAAACTGTTGTGTTGAGGTTATCAATCTCAATTGATTTCATCAAGGAGTTAAAAGATTAAATGTTACTATCAAGTCGGTATATGGCGTTGTTCTATACTTGACTAATAGTAAGGGTTATTAATGAACGGTTGTTGTTAATAACTATCCTCGATGAATTGGATATACTCCTCGATTGAGTATTCGAGAGGAGATAAGTTATAGATATAACAATGATCGACTAAAATATATCAACAAGTGGAAAGTAGCAATGCCAAGTCACTTTTATCTTTGAATTAAATCCCATATAACTCGTTCATCTTCGTGTTTAATTTAATTAAATCACTCAACAATCAAAACCCCCCTTTACTTACTATTTATATAAAAAGAAAGTTATTCCTTTCCCTGTGGATACGAACTCTACTTCACCTATACTACGTATAAGTGCTAGTATTGAATTTATTTTGAGTGCACTCACGACAAAGTGCACGTCATAGGGGCAGTGCAGTATCTTTTATTCAAGTTGTTATACACTTATTGGCAGTCATGTGTGCATTGAAGTCAATGGTAACAATCTAAGGATGTTTTCTTTTGGACTAAAATTTGCTGTATGGTCTGGTAAACGTCTAGTCTCTTTGTATTTTATAACTACGAAAGTCTGGTCTGGTCTGGTCTGGTCTGATCTGGTTTGGTCTGGGACTGAAAACAATCCAAAAGAAAACATCCTAACTCACACATATGCACATACATTGGCTTATAATGTAGGACCATCATCAATTTAGTCACTCAGTAACCACACAACCCCCCATCATAAGTAGAAGCGGAAAGGTAGGCACATAAGGGCAAGTACTCTAAGTGCAGTGCCTCAGATTAGTGTAAGGTAAGTCCTATCATCATTAGCAAAAAGCACAAATACAAATACATAGCCTCCTACACTTACTCAAAGTGGCTGGCATATGTAATGAAGGCAACTAGAAATAAGATCACCAGTACATATACTTATGGTAACCGAATGGCAATCATGTATGAATTCAAGTCAATGGTAACGATCTAACTCACACACATGCACATACATTGGCTTATAATGTAGGATCATCATCAGTTTACTCACTCAGTAACCACACAACCCCCACCATCATCAGTAGAAGCAGTAAGGTAAGCACACAAGGGCAAGTACTCTAAGTGCAGTGCCTCAGATTAGTGTAAGGTAAGCCATATCATCATTAGCAAAAAGCACAAATACAAATACATAACCTCCTACACTTACTCAAAGTGGGTGGCATATGTAGTGAAGGCAACCAGAAATAAGATGATCAATACACATAGCCTCCTACACTAAGAGAAAGTGGGTGGAAAATGTTAATAAGGCTCACACAATTACCATGACGCATACAACTAGTAAGCTAAAAAAACACAAGGAGACTCGTGTAGAAGCAGTAAAGTAAGAAAGAATCGGGTAATTTCATCATTTAAGCAACAATCAGGTGATGCAATGGCACAAGAATTCATCATTTATCAGATTAAGTAGCCAATAACCACAATTTGTGATGCCAAATGTTCAAATACAAACACAATACACATATGTAAGGAATACAGAGACTTCCCTTAAGAAGTGTCCCGAAATACATCCGCATAGGGGTCTTAGAACATGGCGTCGAAGGAGTTAAACTCCTCGCCTTCTTCATCTGATTCGGGAGACTTAGCGCTTTGGGATCCATACCACTTCCGCAAATTCAAACCCGGATCCGTTTCGGATGATGTAGTCCACCCACATGCACGGTCAGATTCTTCATCATCGTCGATGTATTCAACGGGAACAACTTTTGAATGGGTGACTGATTCTTTTTCGGAACTACAGAGGCTAGGGTTTGTTACAGGTGGGCTATCGGAAAGGGGTAGCCGTAAAAATAGGGTGTTCATCTATGTAAGGGGTAGGGTTGGTGGAGGATTCCATGCGTATAGTAGAAACCAGAAGGAGAGGGACGGACATTCTAGAGAGAGAGGGCGAGTTGGGAAAGTAAGTGGAGAGTAAATGGGGTGTTCAGATAAAGTGGGGAAGGTGGGTGGGGAGAGTAATTGGGTTTGTTTATGTGGTGGAAGAAGGGTAAATGGGAAGGGTATATTAGGCATTTCATTTTATTATTCTTTCCATTTAAGGAAATGGTAACTTGTTTCTGGGACAGCAAAAAAAGGAAACCAGGAACATCTTTATAAGGGAAGGGACGGAGGGAGTATTTGACATATGATAGAAGTACATATATATACACTTACAAAAAGTCACTACAACAAAATAAGGCTTCGGCAACGCTTACAAAGTGTTACATAAGATCATTATATTGTTACAAAAGGCTAATGCAACATTTTTATGGGTGTTGCTTCAGATCGCGTTGCATAAAGTCATATGCAACACTTTTATCTTATTATGCAACGTTAATTAAAGTGTTACACGAATGTGCCAAATGCAACACTTTTTTTGCAACACTTTGACGGGCATCTAATGCAACACTTTTTGAAATAGAATGCAACACTTTGGAGCTGACTTAGGCAACACTTTTTAATATATATGTAACATATTTGTTATACTATTTTGCAACACTAATTATATTTTGTAACAATTTAATAAAATTTTAGGCAACATTTTATTCAAATTGGCAACAATTCTCTAGAATTATAAGCAACACTCTAAGACCTAATATGCAACACCATATTACACATTTTGCAACAGTATTTTGATAATTTTAGGTACATGTTTCCATATAAAACAGCATGCCTCTCATATAACTTTTGTATAAAATGATAATATTTCGTGTTAAAATATTCATAATCTGTAGAAAAATATCCAACACATATTTATACTAGAAAGAATATCCTGAACACATGCATCTCGAATAAAGTATCATAAACTAATAAACTAATATTGTCCAATTTGAAAAGAAAACCAAAATATCAAAGAGTACTTCCAATATCAACTAAAATTCTTCTAACTGGCCAGGATCCAAATAGGCAGAAGACATGTAACTTCATTTCTCCAACTCTATAATTCAAGTGAAGCTGGATCAAGATCTGGAATCAACGCAGCAAGCTTTGATAGAACCAAGTTCATTTTCTGTTTCTCGATCTCACGTTCCTTGCGCATTTGTTCTATTTCAGCATTTTTTTTCTCGTTTTCCTCTTCAAACTCCTTCCTCAAAGTGCTCATAATTGTATCCATATCATTTGGTGTCATTGAATCAGGCTGTCCAATCTCTTTTGCCTTAGCAATGTCTTTCTTGGTAACACCTCTTCCACACATTATTGGACTACCATTTCTCTCAAGGGGCATAACAACGGAATTTCCATCAATTGCACCTTCACATTTGTCTATATTTTGTGCCTCATGATCCTGTAACTCAACCTAAAATATAAAACAATACACCATATGGAGAAAGTTATTCGTCTACATAGAGTAAAAGTTTTTAAAAGGTAGATAGATACAAGTGTTGCACTCTTAATGTGCAGTTTATAGTATACTATAAATGAATATGCTTATATTAAGAAAAAGAATTCAATTCAACCATAACTGGAAACTAAAATTCTCAATTAACACCCACAAATAGTAGATACAGGGGTGTCCCCAATTTGGAATTTGAGTGATTTTAAGTTCTACAGATTTTAAAAGAATTCAATAGACTCCATTGGATTGTATTAGAATCTTGTGGAGTTCTATATCATAGAAGTATGGATTTTTAAAGAATTTCATAATCCAATCCCACAGTAACGGCGGAGCTCCCCTATCATATTGATGAGTTAGAAATTAGAATCGCTCTCTGCTGCCACCGTTTTCGGGACCGACGCACACCTCACCTATGTTTTGGCCTAACTCATGTGTTCTCTGACCTTATAACCAAGCATCGGGAGTGTTCAACAAGATGTTCAGCATATGCAAATGTCCAGGCCCGGAATTTGAGAGTCCTATTTTTACAGAATTTTAACTCCAATTTCCACATATACAAATGTCCAACTATGGCATTCAATTCGTGGAAATAAGCTGAGTGGGGCTAGAAGAGCAGGAAGATGTGCCGTCAATAATGAAGATGGAATAAGGAGCCAGTAAAAGCTGCAATTTTGCAGGGACTATGGAAGGACATTTTGCAGGGAGTGTGGGAAACAACTCTTTCCCACTACCTAGAGAAAGAGTAGGAAGATGTGCCATCAATGAAGATGGAAGGAGGGAAGTTTGTCTGGAAGGAGTAGCTGCGATTGTTTATGGATTACAGTTAGCTTAAATCATATGTAATTTGTTAGCTTAAAGTTAACAACAACTAAACAATAATGAACCTGAGATAGGTAACATAAAAATAAGAATACATTGCCACTTACAAGCTCCACAATTTAAACAACTATCCTTTCATCAAAATACTCCCAAACTAGTTGACAGAAATTAATGTGACAAATAACACTTACAATTTTTGAAGCAGTCTCTTCAAAAGAATTTTTATATTCACGTCCCTCAGTTCTTTTGCGTGTAACTTCATACATCATTGACAAGCGAATGTCATGACCGCTTGGAAGGGTAGATTGCTGCGTTTAATTTAAAAATATTATACACTTTCTAAGATGAACACACAATAAAGAAAATATACATAACGTAATATACCAATTTTGCACGAATTCTGGCATAGGACACACGACCGGTTGTGTGGTTATCCTTTCGAAGACTTCTATTACCCTTGTTGGTAGCGCATCGTTTCTAAATCGAACATTTTAGTGTATTTAGTGTTAGTACACGTGAAATAATATTTATAACGAGTATAAATGCACATAAATGACATATAATATACCTGGTAATTTGGGCACTTCCATAATTTTGAGCATCCGAAAATCTCTTTCAGGAATCTCTTTTGGTCGGTTTCGCCATCTAGTCTTATCATCTACATAGTCTGTGCAAAGCTTTTTCTTGAACCGACACTTATGTAGCCTCCATGATGATCCAATTGTGCTCATTACCCATTTCTTGCCTTGTAAGGGAACATCATATACTTTCTACGTAAGGAGATTATAAGAAGTTAGTTGTGCGCTATGTAATGTAAAATAATATATAATAATCAATTAATACATACTTGTACATATTGCCACATCCTATCCTTATTTTCCATACGACACCAGGTACTAACAAGTGGTGCAAACTCATAGTTGTGAGCTATTGTTCCCAAGAATGATGAGAACTCATTCAATGTTTTATCATCGGGTCCAATAGGTTGACCAAACTTATTTAGTATGATGCATACACGATGTTCACGCATATGCACTGCATGCAACATTGTAGGACCTCTTGTTTTTTTTCTTTTCCATAGAATCTGCAAAGTACATATAAAAATATAATGATCATGCTTTTTAGATAAAAGATGTCATTCATAGGTGATGATATTAACCAAAATAATTGAAAGTGTTGTGACCTTGTATATAAATGGAGTTCAAAATACTTACTTGATCCTTGTTGCCCTTCATCTATAGTTAAATCATTTTCGAGTTGAACCTGTTCATTGAGATCATCACCACTCTCTTCATCTTCATCATGTTCATAAGTCATGGCGTCGTCATCATCTTCACTATCATTATCTCCATCTTAAATTTCATAGTAAGTTAGTCCTTTGAACATTGAGTTATGTCTCAGTTTAGTTGTTCCAGCAAAACTATAATGGCAAAATTCTAACGAGATTTTTAATTTGGTGTCAAGCTCAACTAAGTTTTGGAGTGTACTCTTGAAATGAATTCTTTTCTTTTTTCAGCTTCTCATAATTTTGCGTCATGTTGTAATTCTACCTTTGCTCATGAGCTAGACTTAAAACGAACTAAAACGGTTAGCTTTCCAGCATGTGCAATTTATAATATAAATATAATATGTTGCATTTCGTATAGCTCTTTTGGTACGCATACATAAAAAACTACACCCATGCATGTGCAATTTATAATATAAATATACTATAATAACAAGAACAATTCATTTAAAATAACATTATTAGAATAAAAATAAGAGACACAGACCTCTTGCTCTATCAAACACCGCGCTACCAAAAATCTCTTCAGCTGTCCATGCATCCATATTTGAATGCCCTTGCACTATATTATTTATTGAACTCATTATATCTACTTAACAAAAAACTTATAGCACTATTTTGTGAGATATAGTCCACAAATTGTAAGTCTACCCAAGAAAACTGATGTGACTTACCATCATATTCAAGATGATGGTTATTGGTTTGAAACTCAACTTCAGTCTCCGAGCATGATGGCATTACATGTAGTGATTCTTCATTTGTTCCTTCGCGTAGCTTCCTTAAGAAATCAGCCATGTAGATACCTGTGTCACCTGATGGACTCTTGACTTGGTAATTGTGTCCAGATCGCTTTTGAGAGTTGGTGTGAGACTCATCTTTGTTAATAGTAGCAGCTGCATCATGAGATGTTACTTTTTTCATCGCATTCCTCTTCTCTTGGGATGTATTCTTTGACATTCCGTGAGGTTTCTTATTCCTCAAAATGTAATCTATCAAAACAAGAGTAAAATCTACTAGTTAATAATATAAATTAGTATCCACCTTCCTGTTTTGCTGAACCTACTAGTTAATAAAAGGAACTATAAGACTATTAAATCAAGTAGTTAGAATCATTCACAGCAGAACAAATTCAACAGAGCTATACAAATTAAATTATAAAAGTCTATCCAAGAAAAAGTATTGTGACTTACCTTCATGTTCAACATCATGGTTATTGGTTTGAAACTCAACTTGAGCCTCTGGGCGTGATGGCATCACTTGTAGTGATTCTTCATTTGTTCCTTCCCGTATGTTCCTTAAAAAATCAGCCATATAGATACTTGCATCACCTGATGGACTCTTGACTTTGTTATTGTGTCCAGATTGCTTTTGAAACCTTGTGCTAGGATTATCTATGTTCATAGTAGCAGCTGCATCATGAGATATTACTTTTTTCTTTGGATTATTCTGCTCTTGAGATGTATTCCTTGGCATCCCTTGAGGTTTCTTAGTCCTTAAAACTCTGTGAAGTGCTAAAGGTGCAATACACTTTTGCTTTTGCTTCAAGAAAAAAAAACTCATTAGATGTATAAACTAAATAAAAAATAAAATACTAATGAAATGAATAAAAATTACCTTTTTCGAATGGCTTCCACTTTCTACTACTTCAAAAGATTCATTTTCTTCATTTGTTGGGAAATAGGTAGGATCATCTTTTTTGTCCTTTAGTTTTCTCTTTTTCCCATTCTCGCTATCCACCAAACTTGAGAGTGACTTACAGATATTTGTAAGGTTCAGCTTGGCCATTTCTGCCTTGTTCTGTCGAATTTGCTCCTCTCGTTGAATCTCGTAGTCTGTCAAACGTCGTTCACATGCAACTGATGTTCGCTTTTTTGCTAAATTTCTTACATTGTTATCTTTGTTGGATTTCTCCATCTGGCCCTAAATAAGAAATAGATTTATATTACCATAACACTTAAAATGCAATAAGAATTACATATCCTTATTATGAAAATATTACTATAGTACTTGAAATGAAGTAAGAATTACATATCCTTATTATGAAAAGATACAATCTCTTACACGACGGAGCAGTACATTCCTCAAAAAAACTGAAACCTAACTTTTTAGTAATGTATTACTGCAATATCAATAACATATAAGATAATCAAAGAGAACAAAAGAACAAAACAAGTCTTTTCTATTAAACGACAAAAAAGAAGGACAAACTCTTGCAAAAATTGTTATAAAAGCAAATGGAAATAGAATTAAATTATTGATCTTCTTCATCACTGGCGTGCATCCAATCCCACAACGTATCATCATCATCATCCGAGTCATGCTCAACTTCATTGTTCGGCTGTTCAACATTTATAGTCTCCGCATAAGCGTCAAGAATAGTTGGAGCTACATCCTCTCTAGCATCATTTATTTCATCAATTAAAATATCGGGAAAAATAAAAGCTCTATGATCCAGCGGTTCTTCCTGCCAGTAGCTATTCTCATCCTCTTCATCTATCTCCGCCTCTATGCCAAAAAACCCTCTAGGAATTTTTTCCATGACATAATATAGCTCATTATTAACAGGATCTGTCACATAAAACACTTGACGCACTTGAGATGGCATGACAAAAGGATCATTTGAAGAGCAAAACTTGGTAGAGTTAATACAAGTGAGCCCAAATTCATCTTTCTCTATTTGGTACCACTCGCATTTAAACAACACGATCTAGAACTTTGACCAATAATTTAATTCTATTATATCCAATATTGCACCATAATAGACAACTTCACTAATGATTGGATTCTTGTCCTTAGAACTTGCAAAACTATTTGTTATCGCTGTTACGGTGACCCCACTGTTCTGAGTTTTGCATTTCTCATCACGACCTTTCATACAAAAGCGGTAACCATTCACAAAATATTCAGTATATCTCTTTGCACTTGAACATGGGCCTTTAGCTAACCAAAATATATCATCAGACACACAGTGATGTAATACTTTATCCTTTAACCAAGTGCTGAATTCATGGCTATGATTATGCTCTTGCGCCCATCTACTTCGTTTTTTAATTCTACACACCCGATCTTGATGTTCCCTATTCACAAAAACGAGGTAAATGTTAGTAGATAAAAATGTGTATTATTAAGCAAAGTATTGTACATTAGTTTCTTACCGCACTAAATCTTCCAGCTCTTCACTATCTGAGTTGAACAAAAGGTAACGGTGTGCAAGTGCAGCAGTCATATCATCTAAGGTGAATGCCTTCCCTTTTTTTCTTTTCACCTCCCTACCGGAAAACCAGCAACCTTAAATAGTGCATTCTCGTTGTTGTCATCCATGTGAGTGATATTAGGTGCACTGTGTAGCTTTCTATTCACACCGTCTTGTAAATAACGAGAGCAAAATGTTAAGCATTCTTCCATCAAATATCCTTCAGCTATAGAACCCTCTGGACGACATTTGTTACGCACATACGCTTTCAACTTGCATAAATATCGCTCCATAAAATACATCCATCGGTATGGCACAGGACCACCTAATCTAATCTCTCTCACTAAATGAATAGGCAAATGAATCATTATATCAAAGAAACATGGCAGAAAAATTTCTTCAAGATCACACAATACTTCCTTGATTTCGAACTCCAAATGATCAAGGTCCTCACGTGAAAATACTTTACTGCATACCTTTTGGAAAAATGAACCAAGTCTAATTAAAGGTATGGCAACATGTTTAGGCAAACACCGTCTTATTGCGACTTGCAGCAAGAAGTGTAAAATAATATGAGCATCATGACTCTTATAACCTGAGACTTTTCTCTCTGAAACATGAACGCACCGTGAAATATTTGATCCACAACCATAGGGTAATTTAACTCCTTTCAGAGCAAGACAAAACAACTCTTTTTCTTTAGTGGAAAGTGAAAACCGAGCCTTTTTTGAAATAACGTGTTTGCCGTCATCACTAAGAATAGGCTGAAGCTCTTTTTTAATGCCAAGTTCCACAAGATCAAGTCGGGCTTTTGTGTGATCCTTAGTTTTCCCGGGAATGTCTAATAGTGTTCCAACTAAAGAATCACATATATTCTTCTCTATATGTAACACTTGAGATTTCATATAAATGGATTAATAGTACTACTCATACCAACAGAGGTGCATCTCCTTTTAAGGGAGCTCATTACCTAAGAACTCCAAAGTTAAGCGTGCTTGCTCGGGAGTAGTCTTGGGATGGGTGACCCCCTGGGAAATTTCTCAGGGTGCGCATGAGTGAGGACAAAGTGCGCGGTAAAGGCTTGTGGTGGTTTGTGAGGACAGTACTATTGGTCCGAAGTAACTACCTCGGGTCCGGTGGGGCCGGGATGTTACAGGTGGTATCAGAGCAACCCTGCGACAGTGTGCTGATCCGTTGGATATTGGGCAGACACCTAGTAGGGGAAAAGATTCTGGGGTGTGATTGAGATTGGTTTAAGGGCGCAACGAGGACGTTGCGATCCTAAGTGGGGGTGATTGTAACACTTGAGATTTAATATAAATGGATTAATAGTACTACTCATACCAACAGAGGTGCATCTCCTTTTAAGGGAGCTCATTACCTAAGAACTCCAAAGTTAAGCGTGCTTGCTCGGGAGTAGTCTTGGGATGGGTGACCCCCTGGGAAATTTCTCAGGGTGCGCATGAGTGAGGACAAAGTGCGCGGTAAAGGCTTGTGGTGGTTTGTGAGGACAGTACTATTGGTCCGAAGTAACTAACTCGGGTCCTGCGGGGCCGGGGTGTTACACTATATGCATCACATCTAGATTATGTCGACATTCATTGAATTTCCAATATGGTAATTCAAAGAATATAGACCTTTTTTTCCAAGCGCAAGTAGAATCTGATTTTCTCTTCTGTGACTTACCAAAGACATTATTAAATGAGGATAACTCATCCATAATATCCACTCCAGTTAATGGCTTTGGTGCTGTCCTCTTCTCAACGGTTGTTCTTGTGTTTCTCTTTGGATCATCCGCATCCAGAAATTTACGATGACCCATGTAAACAGTCTTCTTACTATGCTTGAGATACATTGAATCAGTATTGTAGTTACACTCAGGGCATGCTAATTTACCTTTTGTTTTGTATCCTGAGAGCATTGAATAACCAGGAAAATCACTTACGGTCCACAATAGTGCATCGTGTAATTTAAAAGACTCGTCTCGAAATTTATCATACGTCTCAATACCTTCACTCCACAAATCCTTTAAATCCGCTATCAAGGGCTGCAAATACACATCAATATCATTCCCAGGAGAGTGTGGTCCCGGTATCAATAAAGATAACATCAAATATTCTGATCTCATAGACAATAAAGGGTGAATATTATAATTGACCAGCACCACTGGCCATGTGCTATGAGCAATACTCATTGTACGAAATGGGTTAAATCCATCACTCGCAAGCCCAAGTCTCACATTTCTACCTTCTTTTCCAAAACTAGGATGCAACGAATCAAATTTTTTCCAAGCATCACCATCAGCGGGGTGTCTAAGCTTACCATCCTTTGGACGTTTCGTATCATGCCATGTCATTTGTTCTGCAGTCTTTGAACACATATATAACATTCTCAACCTTGGTTTTAATGGAAAATACCACAAAACCTTTGTTGGAATATTCCCTTTTTGTTTATGATTTTTGTTGTCACGTGGTTTCCACCTAGAGGTATGACACTTAGGACATGAATCTAGGCTAGCATCCTCTCTCCAATAGAGCATGCAATCGTTAGGACATGCATGTATCTTTTCGTACTGAAGCCCTATATCCTTTACCATACTCTGTGCTTCGTTAAAAGACTTCAGAAATTTTCCATCAGGAACTACTTCTTTAAAAAGCACTAATAATTCTGAAAATGCTGTGTTGCTCAACCCATTGATTGTCTTGAAAAGTAAAAGGCGAATTGTGAACGACAGAATTGTGAAGTTTTTACATCCTGGATACAATTCCTTTTTTGCCTCCTCCAGCAAATTATAAAATTTTTTTGCATCTTCAGTCATCCCTTCTTGGTTCTTGTTGTCTCTAAACCTATCACCTAAAAGATCTTCAATGTTGTCATATGGAGCTACATCAGACTCTTTTTCATAGGTTGTAGAATCAACTGACATAGGCCCTTCTCCATGAAAGTTCCATTTCAAATAGTTTTTCACAAATCCTTTTGCTATTACATGATCCCACACTTCATCCCTACGGTACCAATATCGATTTTTACACTCTTTGCATGGGCAAAGAATTTGACCACCTCGAGCGACTTTAGCAAAAGCTTGATCAATAAAATTAGTTAAGCCATTCTTGAACTCTGGCGAAAGCCTGTGTAAATACATCCACGTTCTATCTGTCTCCATTACCTTACAATTCACTAAAATATAAATTATTTTGAATATTAAAATAGAGAAATTATAAATCTTAAATCAAATCCAAATCCAACTTATTTGTAATGTATGACTA